ATCGTCGAAATTAGCATTATCCAAAGTGACCGAACAATGGTTAAAACCTTTTGAATGTTGTTCAGGGTCAAACCAATGTTATTATCTTATGTCTCCCTCGAAGTCCCAAAACTTTTGTCTGAAACATTTTTCTCTCAAACCTCGTGATTTTCAAATATTTGACTGTCAAATATAAAATGGGACATTCTGTATATAAATTTTTTTTTTTATGTTATAAAATTTTAGCAATTTCTTTTTTAAAATAAAAATTCAAATTTAGTTTGTTACACAGTATTATCTTTCAAATTAGTACTTTAATTTGATACACGTATATTCACAGGTTTTATTCATCTTATTTTATTATTAAAAAATATTTTATTATTTATTATTTAGATAATGTTTTTTTATAAATAATGTGAACAAGAATTTGTTCAAAAATCAAGAAATCAATAAATATTTCTTTTCTAGAATTTTACTAAAAAGAATTATAATATATTTGTTATTAACTTTACACTGTTCCACACATGAAAACTCAAAGCATGAGAATTATGTCCAGTGATGTAAGCACACGAGTTTATAGCGGTGACTGCTTCAGTTGACCATTATACTCTCGTCTTGATCATGTAGAGATGTATACGTGTTTACAGATCGCTCTTGTCGTATAGATCGCAGAATCATTGTGATGTTGCAAGTGGCATGATTTGTGACTTAAATCACATATTTATTAATTGTTAATGTTTAAGATGTGTTATAATTTTTGTCAATGTTATAAGTGATATTTCTAGATATCTCACTGTATAGTAATGTGAATTAAAATACGTTGAATTTCTTGGAATAGGTAAGAACACAAAAATTTTGAATCCTTCTAATATTATTTAAAAAAATCAGGAGTTCTTGAAAGTCTCTTGAAAGTTATAAACGTTTTTAATATCTTGAAAATATTTTAAAACTTAGTGTTATACATTAAGTACAAATTTATACATTATACATTAATACATTATACATTAACGTTATACATTAAGTACATTAATATATTTGATATAACATATACAAATGTAATTTTATATAATCGTTATAAGTAGGTACATATTAATTATTCAACACATAAGTGAAATTATTATATAAAATTTTGAGAAAATTTTTATTTAGGCATTAATTATAATTTCAGTAACACTAATTTCCCCAATTTTTAATAGATTTTAATGATTTTTACTAGCTTTTCTTACTAGCTTTTAATTGAAACTGTGTGTGTGTATTATATTTTATTCTCATATTTCTCAAATTATTAAAAAAAAAATATATATATACCTATATATTTACATAATGCGTTTCTTTTATCTAACTCATTAAGAATATTTTTCAAAAGCACAGTAAATTTTTATTTAGTTGTAAAATGGTTTATCAAAAATACTTGAAACTTATGTTTTACATGTTTGTATAAATAAAAATAATTTTAGACATTGAAAAAAATAATAAATATTTTGATATAGTAAAGTTAATAATTATGAGTGATTTTGTGCTTGCATATAATATTATCGTATGATTAATGAGTTTTTTATATTCTCACAAAAAAAAAGATATATTTTATATGAATAAAAATATTATAAGCTTAAATAAAATTTTATTTTTCTTATTTTTTTAAAAATGATAAAAGAATATATTTCCTTTTACTACGTCTTATTGTAACTTATTTTTATATTAAAATGTTATATTATATTTAATATTTTAAAGATAATTTTATTTTTAAGAAATCCTTAAAAATAAAATTTTAGCTATTATATTAAATAAATATATCTAATTTAAAACAAATTAATCTTTAATTAAATTTTGAAAGATATTTAAAACTTTGAAAGAGGAATTTGAACACCTGTCACTATACATCCGTATAAATACATATATATGCCAAAGATGAGTCAAGTTTATTTCTTGAGGCGTATTTATCATCCATAATTTATAAAATTTTACTGAATGATGTTACAAGCTATGAACAGTGATTCTATTTATTCAGCATAAATTTGATTACATGATACATTCAATGTACTAGTCTAAAATAAATTTAAAATGAACAAATACGCTGGCATTTTTATTTTTAATTTTTTTAAAGCATTAATATTTCTAAAAAATATTTTATTTTATATCTTCCAAGGAGGATATGCAAAAATGTGTTTTTAGGAATATTTTTCCAAAGCATAGTAAATTTTTATTTAGTTGTAAAATAGTAGGTATATCGAAAATACTTAAAACTTATGTTTTACATGTTTATATAAATAAAGATAATAATTCTTTTTAGACATTGAAAGAAATAATGAATTATCTAATACTGTAAAGTTAATAATTATGAACATTAATTTTGTGCTTGCTGTAAGGCGATCAAGTAAATCATATTTGGTCAAACATATTTTTATGTATTTTGTATTATAGAATCCGAAAATGACCATGAAATTTATGCTTGGAGCGGGGAAAATTTGGAAAATGAAGAAAAGTGGGAAAAAAGCGAAATCGTTAAATTTGGCAGATGTAATTTTCTCACGTTTATTTTTATATTTTCTTGCGTGTTTTGAGTCACAAAATATCGAACTAGCTATTTAGAAGTACTCAAAATATGTACAAAGTGCAAAAAGTTTTGGTCTGGCAAAGGATGTATAAAAAGTACCGGGATGGCAAAATATCTCGAAAACTAAGCATTGTAGAAAAGTGTTTTAGATAGAAGTTACAGGATTTCAAAAGATCTATTTACTGATGCTACAGTCGAACCTCTACAACTCGGAAACCTCTATAAGACGAAAATTTTGTTTATTTCCTTCCGTTCCACTGTGGAAAACCTCTATAAATCGAAATAACCTACCTTAACTCGAATGATTTATCAGATATTTAGATTATTTTACCTCTGCAACTCGAATTTAAAGTAGCCAGACCTCTACAAGTTGAAGTTCACCTCTATAAGTCGAACTTCTATTGTCGCTGTCTCTATGATTTGAAGTTGTAGCTATACCTATGTAATCATGAGTAATAGCCTAGATTTTGTTTTATGATTACATTATTATATGTATGCAATAAATAATTTACTATCAAATATTGAATTTTTTTTCTTTAAGGTAGTTCACTCGCGAATTGAAAACAGTCAGGATTTTTTGAAATTGAAACTCTATGTTGTACTAGAAGTCGTTGATACGCTTGTGCAATTAGTATGAATTTGACTGTTTCAATACTGAGATATAAGCAATTAAAAATTGCATTTTTTATACGTGTCGCCTATACAAAGTTTATGAAAATGTCGCGTTTATTTTTGTAGGGCCTAAACTAGTAGTAAGATGTTAATAAAAAACGAGCATGCGATGAAGGAGTATGAAACGGATATTGTGAAAAAAAATTTATAATTTTTTACCGTTTAATTCGGAAAATAGAGTCTTGAAAAAAAATGTAATTTTCGATTTTGATTGACATACGGAGGCAAGTGAAGGAGGCGGCTAGTTGAGCTGCGTTAGTCTGTCTTTGTCTGAATTAATTTTTTTTGCATGTGGGTGCAGTCTATGGACAGGCGCAACCAAATGTTTTCTCTCACTGGCGGGAGTGGGAGTATCGCCACCGAGCGCGCGATGAGACCTAACTTTTGGATGGTATTGTCGCGAGTGAACTACTTTAAAAGCCATTTTAATCGGAAAATTATAAACTCTCGTACAAAGTCTCTGTAAGTCGAATTTTCGTATATTAATCCTTTTTTATTGGAATTTCGATAAGTCTAGAAAATTCTATAACTTAAAGGGTTTAGCTCTTTTCTTAAGATTCGAGTTATCGAGATTCGACTGTATTAGTTTGATCTTGGGTGGCGTCGCCAAAGTCAGGACAAAGTCACCTTGAATTTTTTTAATAGGACTTCCTATTTTTTATTGCAAATTCTTGTAGCCCTTTTTAAAGCAATATAATTTAATTTTTTTTTTAAATCAGTCTTTACTTTAAGTAAGCCGTTTCGATGTTATCGAGCTTTTTATGATAAGATGTCTAGCCTACGGAGGTAAGATCAGAAGATGATCCAGTCAACTAAAGTAAGACCTAAGGAGTATCCAGCCAACTAAGGTAAGATCTAAGGAGTAACTTTGGTTGGTTGGATCATCTTCCGATTTTGCCTTGGTTGACTGGATACTTTTTAAATCTTGCCTTGGTTAGTTGGATCATCTTCTGACATCTTATCATAAAAAGCTTGATAACATCGAAACGGTTTACATAAAGTGGATAAAATTATAGTGTTTTGAAAAAGGTTTGAAGGTCTACAAGAATTTGCAAAAAAAAACTTTTATTAAAAAAATTCAAGGTGACCTTGTTCTGACTTTTGCAACGCCCCAAGGTCAAACTAATAGCGCCAGTAAATGGATCTTCTGTGAATAGAATTTCTGTTCTTTATAGCAGTAAGAATGACAGAATGAAATTTAAATTTACGGTCTAACTTTTTATGTGGAGGATGTCATGGTTTGAGCTCTATACGAATTTACCATACCAAGATGTGCGTTAGTAATACTGTTTTTAAAAATAATATTTTAGTCTATGTGCGACATTCTTATATAGGGTGTACCAAAAGTCTAGGTACTCCCAAATATTTCATAAACGATGCATTTTAGAAAAAAATGTTTCAGACAAAAGTAAGGCTTAAAAAGACGCATTCAACATAGCATAGTAGTTATTTGACCTAGAATGGCACTGTCAAGGTCAGGAAAAGTTACTTCAAATTTTTTAAATGGAATCCCTTATTTTTTGTTGCATATTTTTGTAGCTTATCTCGAGAGTTTTCCAAAACACATAAATAAAATATTTTTTGAGTTAGTAAATCTTGAGTTATGAAGCTTGAAAGTTGCAATACCGTCGGCATTAGTATTATCCAAGGTGTCCGAACTGGATAAAATCTTTCGAATGTTGTTCAGGATCATAAAATATTTTCCGATTAACAAGGGAACCTCGCGAAGTGTCAAATTCTGATTCTAATGAAACTTGGTACACTTTGAGGTCACATAAATAGATAAATTTAGAAATTAGTTGGGGCTAAAAAACGACTTAAAAGGATGAAACCACCCCTTATATATTAATTATTTTTTCTTTTTTTCGTTATATCTCGAAAACTATTCAAAAAATGTTTTATATAAAAGTTTTACAGTAAAATTACCTCTATTCATTTACGTTAATAGAATTTTTCAAAAATAATTATTTTCAGATCGGAAGAGCACACGTCTGAACTCCAGTCACTTAGGCAT